GAGCGCCTGCGACGGCGGGCATGTCTGCAGCCGGGGCGGCGGCGGCTGCCGGGGGCGTGCCTGCGGGGGGCATGGCAGGGGCGGCGGCGGCGGCGGCTGCGGGTGTGCCGACGGCTGTGGGGGGATTGTTGGGCGAGACCGATGCCCCATTCTTCCTGCTCCTGCTCGTAGCCCAGAAGGCGAGGGTGGCTAAGACCGAGAGAGCGGATATCTGCATGATCCGGGCCAACTGAGCATACGACACGCCAGATATTCAAAAGCACACGGCGGTGGCGGGAACAAGCATGGCGGCGGCGGTTACGACCTGACGAGAATGCTACCTGTGTAACGAGTGGCCCATTTTCTTAATGGGGGGAACACGGTAGGTCTCAAGTACATACCGTAGGTGACCGATTCTAAAAAGCTCGATCGACGAAAAACGGGATGCGAAAAAAATGAAGCGATGATGAGTACGTTGTCGGGAAGCTCTCGACGAGACGGCTCCAACGCCCCCTTTTCGGCACCACCTCTGCCGTGGAGGAATCGAGCTTTTCAGAAGCTCCGACCGGTGTGTGTGTATGACGTCTTTACTCAAGTCGAGTCATCTACGTAAAATAGAACCCAAAATATCATTTTTCTTCGAGTGGCGTTGAAAGCGGGCGGGACCCGTGCACACTTACCACTGTCGCCCCTCCGAATTTCATGAGCAAGCTGAACAGCGCCCATGTCGCATCGTCCGCGAGGTCTCCAGGAACGTCAGTCGTTGCCCCTGTGGCGACATCGCGTACGTACGTGAGCACACACAACGGGGCACCACCACTTGAGAACACCTCGTATACGGCCGAGGCTCGTTTCCAACATTGTTGCCGATGTACTATACCCCAACGGCGACTGTTCACATGGGTTTTACAGTAGTGTGGGCACCTTGACTGAGCATCTGTTCTCACGGCCAACGTTCTCGTGTAGGTAGATGTTGGATGCCCAATTTCAGGCTACTCCAAGTCCTTAACTGCTGATAAGTTCTTGAGTGGCAGCGGCGTGTTCTTTACAGGCACGAGGCAATTTGTTCTTGACGCGGTTCACGATGTCGATTGTAAAGGCACCGCTGCGTAGAGGGGTGAAAGCGAGGGCGGGGGGGGGGGGGGGGGCTAATTTGGAAACCCCCCCTACCCCTTTTTTCCAACTGGAATACCCACGTGT